GATGAACTGGAATTTGGAAGCAGACTTTCTTTTGAAAAGCCACAAGAGGTAATAAGAGTCAAGTAGTGCTAAGGTCTTGTTAGTTGTCTTTGGTCTGAAGCAAACACAATTTAAAGGAAAAATTGACAAATACAGTGTTCATTTGTAATGCAGTGTGCATTTGAGTCTGTGTTCATATACTTAGAAACTGAGCTGCAAGTTCAGTGACTGGTTTTATAACTGAGTACACTGTCAGGAAGCACTTTCTGACTGAGTTCTGTTCCTCAAGGCTGATGGAGTCTGAGGAAGATAAGAGTAGTGTATTCCCTGAACTACAGCAAGGCTGTAAGCTAGTGCTTCTAGTTACTGCTTGTAAATAGTTACAGCTCTTGAGTGGATTGAACCTTGCAGTTGCTCAGCAGCAAGGTCTGGATTGAAGTGATGTCACTTGTCATCTTTTTATGTCTCCTCTGAAGAAGAGGCTGACAGCCCACCTCCTTAAACTCTTCAGACTTGCTGGAGTCATGCAGCGTTGAGCAAGTGCCTTATCCCAAGGCAGCAGTTTGTTTTCTTATCAGAGTTTGTTCTTGACCTTGGATCAACTCTGCTGGTGGTAAACTGACAAAAGGTCTAGGTTTTGGCTTTTAATGCTTTTCCCTTTCCAAGCTGCTTTTGTATCACCTTTTTCAGGGCTATGTTTGTGTAAACAAAGAATTAAAGAAATTTTATCGGCCATGGTCTGGCCCTGCATCACTGCCTGTAAGCTCTGAAGGGTGGTGGTGGAAGCAGTCACATCAAAGCTGGTTTTGTTGTGAATTTGAGGGAAGTTCTATTGTGCTGCAGCTACAATACTGATACAATCACTGTGAATGGTAAATGTGTTGTTGGTGATCGTTAATCTGACAGGAACTGGCAAAAGGAGGCAGCCCTTATTTCTATAGCTTGACTTTGGTTAGCAGCATAAGGGAAAGAATGAGCAATCTTGTTCTTTGGGATGGAGACTTGGCAAGCAAGTGTGGACCTCAGAGCATTAAGGGCATGTGTTAAGGCCTATCAAACCTTGGCAATTGTCTGAAATTAAGACTTCCTGAGGACACCAGAGAACTCCTTGAGTCAGGGGAGACCTTTTGTGGGGCACAGCTCACTGCTTATAATTACTCTTTATACATCTTCCATCTTTCTGCTTTGAAGGACAGTGGCTATTTTGACAGTGCTCATTATCATCAGCACAATACTGTAATAAGTCTGTTTCAACAACATTGTGTTGCAGTTGCAGGTTGATCAGTTTTTAGTCCTGGCTCTCTGAGTTTCAGAAGATCTCAAGACTTGTAGGACATCTACAAGAAGATAAATTTGTGTGAGGAAATGAGTAACTATTGATAAATTGTTTCACGTGATATCTCAAAGCATTCAGTCTGGTTTGGCTGTAGGGAAAAGTCCTGTGTTTCCTTTGATAGTCTTGTGGTAGTTAATTCTTATCAATAAGGCATTTCTTTAAAATAATTCCAAACTTGCCATGTGTTGTTTCAGCAATAAAAAATGTGGCCACAAGTCTCCTATCTGAAAATTGGTAACTGAAGGTTTTCGGGGTTTTTTTGCATAGTTACTTTCCCTCTTGGCTTTAAAAAGATGTAAATACCTTCTGTAATGTGTCACTGCCTACAAACTTATGTTGCCCCTTAAAATGTGAAATGGAACTTATTTTTTTTTTTTAGTTAAAAAACTAATCTTCTGTAGTTTTTTATTGCAGTTAACTTTCTTGGATCTCTGTATATTTAAAATTGTGTCATAAGCAAAGATGAAGTGGTTATAATTTTCAGAGATACAAGATGGTGGCTGAAGATGGCTGGTACCAGAATTGCCAGACAGCCTAAATGACTGTGAGCAAACAGTCTTGAACAGTTTTAGACAAAAGCTGGAGACAGCTTCTTCCAGAATCAGAGTCAATAGGACTGGACTCATCATGAAAGCCCATCCTCGTTTGAGGCTGGGTAGGGGAATGATAGTGAAACCTTCTCATTTGGTTCATCCCTCTTACGTTTCCACAGTGTCCTCCTCAGGAGCCAGAGGTTCATATCAGTATTTACTGCAGTGATACTTACTCAGAACAACTGGGTGTTGTCCCTGGGTTGAGATGTGGCTGTCACGCAGGGAGCTGAGCTATAACCAGGAGCAAAGTTCTGATCAGCAGGTCAGAACCAGATGTGTTTTATTTCATTAAAACAACTTGCTTGCTTCTGTGCTGTCACACTTTCCTATAAGAAGTTCTCTAGAAATGGTGTAAGAATAAAACCAACCCTGTGTTACTGTCACCAAAGCCAGTGTGATTCCACAGTTGGTATTTTTTCCCAGCCTACAGGCATTTTTTCTGTAAGACTTCTTTGCATTCGAGTTTTCTTGGAGACCAAAAAAAGCCATGTTAATCTTCTGAAATGTTGCTAAATTTGTTGGTTTTTTCCCTATGCTCTGCCTTCCCCATGGGAAGTTCTATTGAGGCAGTCAGCTTACACTGTTGGTAGCTTGATAATCCCTACCTGAAGAGGCAGTGCTGCCCAGCTGGTGGATCCATATTGGCTCTTTAAACTCTTAGTGCCATGTGCATTTGACTCCAAATTTTTTTTTTTTCTCCCCAAACCTTGCTGTTTTCATTCACTTTAAGTGAACATCAGAATCAGTTTTCATTGTGCTTCTGTACTACTAGGCAGAAGTATTCCTGTAGAAAGTTTTGGACATAGTGTATGATTATGTCTAGGGCTACATATACCAGAGTAACCCACAAACTAATGGAACAGCTGCATAAGACTCACTTGTCCTACAGTCCCTGATAACAGATTCCTTACATCCTTTTGCAGGCAAGTTGAAACTATTGTTTCCTTATATCTGTAAGTAAAACCAATTTTTTTCTTTTTTTAGTCTCTTGTAAGTTACTAGAAGAAAGCCTTGCTTGTATCCAGACCTTTCCTACTAATATCCCTTGTCATAGCAGGAAGTCAGTGGTTTAAAAAGACTTAGATGGCATTCTAGATGAGTAGGTTTGTAGTAGCTGTGGTAGACCATCCGTGGTTTGGTTCTTTAAATTCCTCCTGGGCTTCCCTTCTTTTGACTGTGGTGTGTCTAGCTGGTTTCCAGCTCTCACAATGGAATAGGAATGAGGAAATCAATTGTAAAGGTAGGAAAAAATAGATGAAGTCTGAGATGATACAGCTGTAGAAAATTCCCAGGGGTGAAGACAGATTCTGGGACTGTGTGGGTAACTGAGAAAGAAAGTGGAAGATGTGGGAGTGAGGAAAGCTGCCTGTGTTTAACACTGCAAATTTTCCATTCAGCATACAAGTGCTCGTGTGTGTTGTTTGGACTGAAACTGAGCTCAGACTGTCCTGGAGCTTGTTTTGTATGAGCACAAATCTTTGGTGTAAGGATACAGGGTGAGTTCATGTACTTCAGCAAGGTTTGACTGTTCATGTCACGACTGTCATAGCCACTGTCACTGCTTTCCTGGTGCTCATGTCTGTATTGGTCTCATTAAGAACGTAATTATGGTGTGATTCATACCCAGTTTTGTACAGACCAAGCGACTGCCTGTAGCAGTCTTACAGCGAAGCAGAAGCAGCAGGAGTTTGTCTGCAGATCCAGCTCATTAAATGGTGCAGCCTGGTTACACACATTATTTGCAGCTCTGTGCTGCCTCTTGCAAACATCACTTCACATTCTGCTCATAGTTCTTTGTTGTTTAGGTGCAAGCATGTGTGGTATATCCCATTTTAATGAGTTCTGTTTAGTTCTATCCTGACTTAAACCATTTCTATTGCATCTTATGTAAATGCTTGTATTTAATGTTGAAGTGAGCTGAGTCTGGTTAATTAATGTTATGCTGAAAGCTAGGAATAAATGTGAATGTGTATTCTTGGAATAGCAAAGTCTCAAGTGTTTGGAGGAGGAGACAGTGTTTGAAAACTACGTAAAAAGTATAAGGCTATCAGTTGTCACTCTCAGATCTCAGACTTGAAGAAGAAACTAAGGTCTTGTAAATAGTGTGTAGGTAGATGATTTGTAGTCTTTTAGACTTTTTAGAGTTTGTTCTTTCAAGTGTTCCTTTACTTATACCAGGAGCTAAGATATTTAGTTTGTCTGAATGTTAAAACTGGAGAAGCTCTTCCACCTTGGAGCTAGTGAGTTTTGATAGCTAATAACCAGTTTCTTGTCCTTCATGGTATAGAAAAACCTTCTCTTCTCCTTTGCGAGTTTCTCTCCACACAGGCATTAATTGCTGTAGAACTAATCTTTAGAAGATTTTACTGCCAAATAGTTTTTTCTCACAGCCTTGAACTCTTGAACAGGTGCCACACCCCTGGAGAAGTTAGAAACTTCTGAGTATCAGTGATGTATGGCTGGGTGACCACAGGATACTCACCATGTTTGTCCTGTCTCACCGACTTGCCCCAAGCAATGGCTTGAATGCACGTGGAGGTGACTACCCTTCACAGATCAGAAAGCTGCTTATGTTGCCTTCCTGCTTTTTCTTCTTCCTGTGTGGCTCACTGGAATTTCTGAACAACAAAACTAGAGATCTAAATGGTCAATTTGTGTGCTTTGGTATTCCACATAGTTGAGTGTTCTTACAAACAAGGAAATGTGTGTGTATAGGAGGAGGATGTGAAACTAATAGTAATGGGATGGGTGTGGGAGAGAGCTGGGGATCAAAGTTAACACCTGCTGGGATATTAGGAGAATTAAGCCCTTGTTAAGCTGAATTCCTGTAACCCTAAACAACTACGTATGGTTTTTTGAAATAGCTGAGGTGGAGGGCTTTGAATTTGAATCGTAGTAATTTGGTTAAAGCTACTTGATAACTAGCAAAAATTGTACAGCATATGGATCTTATTCTTGCAACAGGAATTGCTGTATATTTTCTGCCCTCTAAGGTGGGGAAAGTGGAGAGAATGACCATCACAGGATTAATTGTCTTGATAAGCTTACCTAAAAAGCAAAACAAACTAAGAGCTTTGTTCTTTTTTGCAGCCACTGATCTTCTTTTGGCTTGGAATCCCATTTGTCTGGGCCTAGTAGAGGGAGTCATTGGTAAAGTTCAGCTTCATACAGGTATGTGGTTGGTTTTGTGTGTTTTTTTTTCAAACTGTTAATTCACTTTTTTAAAGTCAGTGATAACTACAAATACTACTGTGTAGCTCAAATGGAATTTCATAGTGTTCTTTGCAACAGAGGAGTACTCCCCAGCTCTGTCAATTTGTCAAAGTGATGGTTATAGCTGTGGATGCAAATCCCCTCTACTTTCCAGTGTGTATGTTTAGATTTGTCACTGTCCTGTGAAAACGGAAAACTGTTCACAGAGTAGAAATTTCTGGTTGAAGCTCTGAGGCCACATGGGAGATGTGCAAGAATTTTGTGCATTTAGAATAATCCTTTCAAGCAGCTTTTTGTCTCCTGTGGTAGAGTGCAAAAATTAATAATGGGAGTTTTCACAAAATTATAAGCCTTGAATTCTCAATTCTGTATGAAACCTTGAAGAATAATTTTAGTAGATGTCTATTTGAAAGTAAAAGGAACACTTCTTAAATATAGGACATAACTGTAAAATGAAAGCAAGTGAGAATGCCTTGTGATTTAATGTTAAGCCTGTTTCTAATTGATTCTAGTAACTTTTTCTGTAAAATAAGGTCAGTGCTCTTTTAGCTTTAGTCAGCTGCAAATTCCTGTAACCATAATAAATATTTTGATATATACTAGCTTTTTCTGGAAAGACTCTTCTGCCACTAGAGCTCTGAATATCTGCTTGCTGACAGGTAGGAAAGCTAGCCATCAACTCTGCCTCACTTGCTGTGTCTTGTTCTTTCTGTGACTGCTTAGACCCTGCATTTAAAGTAGTGCCTGGCAATATGATCAATACAGGTAAAGTTTCAATTGTGTTCCAGGAGAGCAGGAGGGATTAAGTGCTGAAATGGATCAGATGTTTGTGGTCCATTGAATAGAAACTGAGGAGTCTGGGGTGGCCTACTAGGAATAGGGGAAGAAGGAAAACAGGGATGGGTGCACCATGCATGAGTGTGACAGATCTGGTTCTGGAAAATGGCTCTGTAGTTACTGAAACCCCTTTCTGAGACTAACTTGTTTCTCAGAGTACTAGTTCAGAGCCCATCTCTGCATGAAGTTCACAATCACCTCCTCTTTACAATTGCATCGCTCCATCTCCCTCAAATTTCACCAGATATTTTTCTGTGCTCATTCTGCAGTTCTATTCAGTGATCCTTTCTCAGATATGATGATATGAAGTGCTTCAGACTCTGCCATCTCACTTTCTCTTCTCATCCAGGTTGTCTGTGCTGTTCAGCATGTGCTGTTCATGATGAATGATGGCTTAACTCCAGTAATGACCTTTCTGCTGTGGGAGAATGCTCAATGACTTTTTAGCATGTGTTTTTGTGTGTATCTTTCTAAAAAAAAAAAAGGAAACAAAAAACAACCAACCTAAAGCACTTAGGTACACAAAGACCTTCTGCCCTCTCTCTAGGGAGTCTGGTATAAAAGCCTTTGAAGGGGGAGACCTTTTCAAATGCCTTCTGGAATGTCTAGTAGGTTATAGCAACCAAATGTCCTTGTGTGCTTATTGTGAGGCACTTCCTCTGCTTATGAAAGCTGAGCTGAAACTTGTCCCAGCATGTGACACTTCAACAGGTGCCAGCTTGCTGTTGTCAAGTAGATTAAGATTTTCAGGTAATAGGCCTGGTATCTGGTCTTCTTTCCACATGTCCTGTAGAATCAATTAGGCTTTTGCATTCTGTTACTGCTTAGGCCAGTGGAAGCATTTTGTTTCCTTTCTGCCTTTTTCAGATGACACCAGCACAAACTCTTCATAGACTATCCTTGTTGATATTCTGATATTTAGTGGTGCAACTGTCCTGTAAATAGACATTTTATACCTTTAAATGTATGAAGATACATTCCTCAACTCTTTATTCTTACTCTCCTGAGAACTGCTGCTCCCATGAGCCTGCTGACAGCTGCTGATGTGCCCTCCATTGGGCTGCTGTCAAAATGGGAGGGCTGTTATGTCCTATGTGGATCTCTGACCTGTTATTGTCAATGAACTCTCTCACTTGATTATATGCAAGTGTAGTTCTGTGTAATCCTCTAGCTGAATCCCCTAGCACTCTGTAACTGTAACCTGTCTTTATTATTCTTGTATCAATCTTTGTCACCTGGAAACTTTAGCAGCTGAAATGGTATAAATATTTAATATTGCTGGACCATTATGTCCAGACTTAGTAAGAGTACTGTGCTGTGGAAGCTGAGGGAAATGCTTTTCTGACCTGCATCAGGAGGACTTGTTGCTCTGATTTCTTTGCCCCTGCCCCCAGACTATAAGGGTCAGAAAACTTAATTTGAAGCTCTTTAGACTAACAAGAGCCCTGTATGGGCTTTTTCTGCTCAGTTCCTTGTTATTAACTGTTGTTGGGAAGAACTGGTGTGTTTTTAAAAATGCTTAGCACATGCTGACTAATACTGGAAAACTTACTTGCCTTCTTAAGTATTGAAGTTGCTACCAGTGACCTTTAAAGCTGTCAGTGAGACTATATGCACTTTAATATCTTGGTCACAGATGTTCTTGAAAAATTTGCTAAAAGTAAGAATTCTGGAGTAGTCCTAGGATGACCTTGAAATGTCCCTTTAGTCAGTCTTGGGCTGTCCCTAATTTAGCATTGAAATACCTTTGCCAAATTGCTGGAGCTAGGGATGGGATTTCATTTGCTTTTAGTCTTGCTGGTTTTATTGCTGGCCTGGCACAGACGAATTTGTAGGAAAGCTGCTGTGGCGTGGAAGCAGTCTCACAGAAAGCAGCTATCCAATATTACATGGTTTATTTTTTAAAATTCTTTAAAGAGTTCTTGCCATGAGAGGGTCAGCTGTAAGTCTGGATAGACCTGCACACTCGCATTGGAGATGAAGTCTACTTAGCATCATTTGATTCTTCCACAAAACTGGTTTCTTAAACATTAAAATGTGTGGTGTGTTTTTTTTTTTTTCCTGGAGGAAGGAAAAAACCCTTAAAGAACAAAAACCCAACAGAATATCAGAATGCAAGAATATTGTCTCACCTCTTTCTGGCCTGTCCTGAAATGATTTGTAAGAAAACATGGAGTAAGAATGAGAATAGAAAGAAGAGGATTTTAAGAGATGTTATGGGGATAAGTTACTGAAACAGAACATTACACATTTTCTTGGTACAGATCTACAATTAAAATTGTCTGTGTGATCTTCCCATATAGAAGCAAGCACATCTCTTGTAGAAACAGTGTCTCTTTCATAGAATATTAATTTCATGTCATGGTCCAGTTAGTGTGTATATATACAAAATATAAGTTTAGCTACTCAATTTCCTTTCATTGAAGCCCCAGTACAGATCTGGAAAGGGACTGTTATGTTTATGAGAATAAAAAGTAGATTTTTAATCCACTAAGATGGTAACTGTAGCCTGAAATTGCATCAGTTTTGATCAGAGACTACTTAGCAAGCTGATCAAATGCTGTGGTGCTACAATATGCTCAGAGCTAATATTGTATATTTAACTATAACCAAAGCAGAATTTCTTAAGTTCCAGCAGCTTCCACTGAATTTACTCATTGCTACCACACAGGTTCCTAATTCTTGGCGAAGCATGCTCCTATAGTTGAATGTCTGTACATGTATCAGTTTGGTGTGCTCTTCCAGTGCTGGTTAGTTAAGATTCAAATCAAACACTGGGCAAGGCTCCATAGACTAAGTAAACAGAAGGGGAGTGGAGTTCTTCCTTCCCTGTCCCCAGGAAAGGAAAGCTTTTTTTTTTGTTAGCATGCCTCTGAATCTTCATAGAAACACTGAGTGGTTCAGCATCTCAAATGCCTTCAATGAGATCTAACTGCTGCCATTTCTATCTTCAGTCAACTTGAATAACAAAGCAGAAATATTTTAAATAACAAAAAAAAAGAATTGTAGCATGGAATTTCTTTGTTAAAATCAAAATACTTGCAAAAAGTAACTTTTATAGTGAACTTAGGCACAGCTTGAAGTTTCTGTGACAGGAGTTGGGGAAACTAAATGCTTGATGGGGAAGTGTTAGGGGAAATAAAGAGTAGTGTGCTGACAGTGAAGCAACAAGGAGCTAAATTCCTGTTTTGGTGAGGAATGGAGGTAATAGCTTACTGCAGGTATAGTACTTTACATTAGTTGTTGCCATCTGCTCTGCCATAGTTCATAAAACACTAAAAATGAATGTTGGATCTGAAGAGATGCTTTAAAACATGCCCTTTTCAGGAATGACACAGAGCTGTAGTGCTCTGTACACACCATACCTCCCACACTGAGCAGGCAATAACTAATTTATTTTTTAAAAGCTATTCTACGGAACTACTGTTTTTTTTTTTTTAACTGCAGAAGCACATACCCTATTTAGGGATTCAGTTATTTAGATACTGCTGGCAATTAGGTTATGCCATAATATGGCTATTGTTGAAGCTCTTACTTTAGGGCATACTTTATCTGCTTAATTACTTCCTGACTATTTTCTTTTCATCTGCTGTGGAATTCCTGTTTCCTTGCAGTGTTCTGTGGCTCTGGTTGCAATACAAATAAGGTTTTGAAATGTGCATCAAGATGACTGAGTGCATTTTTAAAAATGATAAAGGGATACAGAGCTCACTTGGCTGTATTAAGCTTTTGAGATTTTTTTTTTTTACTGCTGCTAGGTTTGGTTAATAAGCTAAATGGAAGAGCAGCCAGAGATTTTTTCTTTTCCAGTTTCACTAGGGTGTATCTGCTTAGAAATGCCTTTGTTATGCTTTTTTTCCCCAGTAGAATAATTATTTCACTGGAGCTCCAAATGTTATCCTTTATTAAGAGTGTCTGGTTTGTTGATACATGCTGGTGATCTCTTAGGAGTAAGTTGTGGCAAACCTTCTGTAGATGGGAATAGATGAGATGATGGGACTCCCCAACAGGACTATCTGGATGCCCTGTTCTACAACTCTTGTTAAGCCTGGATAGCCCTGGCTTTCCAGAGACTCTTGTTTGTACAGAAAATGGCAGACCTTCATTTTAGATGAGGCAGTGGACCTCACAGGTTACTGGTAGTTTTGGGAGCATTTCAGTTTTCCTTTTTTAGAGTTATTTTCTTACCTTATCTCTGATCTCATTGTTGCATAGAATATGTCCTGTTTTGTTCAGCTTCCCTTTTCTTATTTCCACTTTACTCTCATAGCTGCTGAGACCTCTCTGACCTGACTTGTAGCTGATCCTATAGAATGTGAATCCAAAGCAGTGCAGGACTCCTTTAGGGGATCATGTAGATTAAACAAGTGGTGCATGTCTTTCTTCACTTCCCTTCCTCCCTTTCTGAGGGGCAGCCTCTGGTTTTCACAGCACACTTGTGATCATGAGAATCTGTCATTCTAAAGGTTTTTTTTATTACCTAACATAAGGATATATTTTCCTAAAGATAGTAATATAGAATCAGATGAAGGAAAGGAGTGTCATAATGCATGGTAGTCTACTTACAATGATCATTCCTTTTCTTTAAGCAGAAGACACTTGTGCTTATGTATAACTTGTCAGGTTTGGGTTGAAGTGTTCAAAGTGTTTTTTTTTAATTGTAGTTATTGGAAAGTTGTTCATAAGTTTGATAGAGCTTTAATTCTATGCTGAGAGGATATTGGAAAAATCTGGGAAAGGAGAAAAATTGAGTGTTTGGTGACTTTAAACTCATTATCTTGCTGGGTTTTTCTTAACCACTCAGAGGATAAACTACTGTTCAGAACTTGAGCAAGGAAAACAGACCTTGTATCTGCTATAAAGCCTTTAAATTTTTTATTTCAAAGGCTGTGTATTGTATTCAAAGGTATAATACATGAGACAACCTCTTGTCACAAATATGGAAGCATATTTTAGTGTCTGGGCATGACCTCTTCAGTTCAACTCAGTTGCTTACTTCTCACTCAGGAGCAACAGTGAGTGTATAGGTGTGCCTCTAAGGCTTCCTGTCTTTCCATCTCTATTAACAGAACTTTCACTTTTGACTCAAAAGCCCAGTGTACTAGCAAGCTACTGATCTGACTGAGGGATTAAAATACAGGAAGCTAATGTCCAGGCAGTGGGAATGTTTGATCTATTTCCCTGTCTCTTTAAAGTGTTCAAGCTTAATTACAAATGTTGTAGGTTGAATGTGTGTATGGAATGCACTTGCTATGAATATCTTAATTATCTGGCTCATTAATATTTACACCACTTAAATGCATATACTTCAGGAATGATGTTGTGAAGCTTTAAACATGAGCTGCTTTATGATGCAGCCCATGTTTGCTCACCAGATTTCTTCACTTGTGAATCCCATAATCAGATGTTACATGTGTCTGTCTGGTTTGCTGGTTTATGCTCCACAGAAGGTACAAAGGGGAAAACTTAGTGTGGTGCCTGAGCTCCAGCTAATTTATAATTGTACTGCAATTAGTGCCATTGTAGGAATGTGCATAATCCAAGAGATTGCCTAATTGCTATGGATGAAGCAGGCTTAACTTGACCTGTAATGAGTGAGTCTTGAAACAGTTAATTTCCTTATTCTACTAGAGGCTGAATAAATATTTGCTTTTAGCATGATTAGGTTTTTTATTCCAATGCATAATAACAAAAGATAGCAATGGGAAATCGTAATTCACTGGAGTCTTTCAGTCAAATGGTTCCTGGCAGGGGTTTTACACTGCAGAGAAACTTCTGCTGGACTAATCAGAGTAAGTGCATGACAGACAAATCAAAACATCTACAAATATCTTTCCAGATTTGCCATGGTGGCTACTTCTAATTCGTCAGAAGGCATTGATTGGCAAACTTCCAGGAGACCATGAGGTCTGCAAGATAACTAAGATTGCAGTGATTCCCCTTTCTGAAACAGAGCCTCAGGACCTGGAATTAGAGGTATGACTGTCTTCAATGAATTCAGACTTCAGTGAAATTTAAATGAAAAATAGTACTTAAGCACATGCCTCTTATCATTCTTTCCTAGATTATGCAGATATATTGAATGTTTTGTGCCTTTTAAATAGTTTTTGTTTGATTAAAAGTTTTTATTTTTTAGATAGAAATCACAAGTTCTGCCAGGGAGGGAAGGTACAATAAAATTATACCCATATTTTATGACTCTTAAACACCACACAAGAACTAAGTTTTGTTAGTGCAATTGAGCATCAGACAGTTTGAGAACAGATCATTCCAGTTGATTCAGTTCTAAAGGGACAAAGCTGTAGACTAGAACAGGAACCTTAATTTTTTTCATTAGCAAAAACTACAAACCCCCCCAAAACCCAAACCTACTCGTGATTACCTCTTAATGACTAGGATGGTAAACCCTAGTAATCCAAGATGATGATTGCTGTGGTTAGTGAACTGTTGTGAGAAGAATTCTAGCTTTGGGCTTTTTTTTTTTTGACTGTGTTGGGTGTGGATGAGGATGGGGGTCAGGGTAGCTTGTAGTGGTCTATAGTGCCTGGATAAGAGCATGAGAATCCTTCCATGAACATAACATGAAGCCTAAATATAGTACCTTCCTGTTCATGGTTGTGTAGGCAAGAACATACATCTGCTTGGTCCTTCTGTGCCTAGAAACCTGTACAAGAGCTCAGGTTTGCAGTGCCCTCTTGCAAGTATTTCAACTCTTACTCCTGAGGTTATCCCTGAATATCTTAGAGTTAGACCTTCAAGTGTGTTTTTTTGAGGAAGAAGTTGTCATATCTTTGACCTCTAATTCAGGAGAGAGTGTGTATACCATATATATATATTTTTTTTTTTTAATGGATGTTCTTGCTTCCATCCTGTTCTGGAATGTTAATGTAACTTGGCCTCAAGGGAAACCCTTACTTTAAATGTTGCAGATTTTTTTTCCAAAAGAGAATGGATAAAGGAAAAGCAATAGAAGTGAGTAATGCTAATTTACACTCTAATTTGGGCAGGAAGTTGAGGTGGGTCTGAGTACTCAAGTCATGTCAAATTGGGACAGATATTCTCACAATCACTGGAGAAAATGCCTTTTACAAAAAAGAGGGAGGATTATGCTATAGATAGAAACCTGCATGTTTCCCTTGTATTTCAGAATGTCTCCTAGGTGTGTGGACATTTCAGCCTTGCTTTTGTAGACTTCAGTTAAAATTTCCTTAAACTTTTAAAAGAGCATTTAAATATTTTCTTCAATATTGTTATTTAGCTTTGTAAAAAGCACCATTTTGGGATAAACAAGCCAGAGAAGATTACGCAGTCCCCAGACGACACAAAATTTCTGCTGAAGACTCTTACTCAAATTAAATCAAATGTGTCTGCTCCAAATAAAAAGAAGGTAGTGTTCTACTCTTTTCTTGTGTTATGTGGTTTTTTGTTTAGTTGGTAACTTGAAGGTTGTGTTGGGTGATCAAATGGAGATATAAGATCTAAGAAGAGAACTAGTGAAAAACTGCAGAATGTGCAAGTACTGTCTTGAAGTTCACTTTAATTTGTGATTATGTAACTATGGCTCTCCTATGGTTTTTCCATTTTTAATTATATAATTGACAATTAGGAATAGTGTCTTTGTACTAGGACCAATTTCTAGTGTGATTCTAAACTTCTAGAAATTGCTCTGCATAAACATCTCTTACAGTATAGAATTAGGGACAAAATTTAGTGCACAGTTCATCTGAGAACACCATACATTTCTACCAAAATGCTTTTAATACAATTTTTTTATTGAATTAGAGTGTCCAAACAGTATGTATTAAACTTAGCATGGTAGATACAACATTCTTCAACTCCTTAGATTGAAATGTGCTACTGGAATGTAAGCTCCAAAAGTTTCAGAATCTGCCTGCTTTGAATGCTCTTAATGCTAAAAGGAGTAGCATATTTTTGAAGTCGCTGTCCCTCATGTTTCTCTCTGCTAGGAATTCTGAGATCTTGCTCCTCAATGGGAAAATGTTAGAAACAGTTTTTAACAACCTGGTTAGAAACCGCATTTAACAAATTTTGGGGTGTCTTTTTCCATCAAAGGGACATAAGAAAGCCATTACTTCTCTTCCAGATTAAAGAAAGCAAAGAGAAAGAGAAGCTGGAGAAGAGATTGTTGGAGGAGTTGTTCAAAATGTTCATGGATTCAGACTCCTTTTACTACAGCCTGACCTATGACCTAACAAACTCTGTGCAGAGGCAGAGCGTGTGTGAGAAAACCAACTTAGCGCTGTGGCGAAAGGTAAGTTGTGTGGGTTGGTGTTTCACCTTTTGGGAGATGTGCTGTGCAGTCATTTGTGTGGTCCAAACTTAGCTGGTCAGATTCTCTGCTGGTAGAACCTACAGCAGCTGAAGCTCTTGCCCTGTAACCAGCTTCAGTGCAAGCAAACAAAGCGAGTCTCCAGCAGCAAGTCTTGAGCTGAGCTGTTATAGTTGAATGCAGTGAACACTAGACTTGTATGTACAGTTGCAGTGAATAACACCCAGTGTCTTTACTAAAGATATTGCCAGACTTCAGTTAAAATACTGCAAAAAAATTGACCTTTTTGTTTCAAACAGGTTGATGACAGATTCTTTTGGAACAAGCACATGATTGAAGATCTCATCAGCATTGATGTGAGTCTTACTTCTAACAATAACACACATTATGAGAACCAGTCTTTAGTTTTAGTTGAAATGTTTACTTAAGGCCTCAGATGTTTACTTAAAAACCTGCTTGGCAGACAGGTCAGGGTCAGGGCTATGCCTTCTGAAGCTGAGCAGTTGGCATTAACCTCTTCCCCCTGCCAGCCTTGCAGCAGCCTTCTAGTTAGCCTGTGGTCATTGCTAATGAATGAACCTTAACTGAAGTTAGTTTCATTATGATAAAGCAGTACAGAATAACTTGGTGTGATAAGTTTGTGCTAATATCTGAAAGCAAACTTAGGATGTATTAATCTGTGAAATGGATTATGCCTGTGCAGAGCTGAACTTGATAAGGAGGAGGAGCCAGAAAAGAAACTCTAAATGCCAAAGTTGTCTTGAGACAAGATTTTTTGTCTTCCTAATGGAAGAATACTGTTTTTCTCCTTGAGCAGAGTAGGTGATTAATGTAACAAGAGTAGAACAAGTTATTCTGAACAGCTATTCAGAGTAGACGAAGTATTTTCCTCCCTAGTGAGCATGTAAAGAAACACAGACACACTTTTCTTCCATATGTGATCTCACTTCATTTTAAATTAACCTTGTAGATAAAGGAGTGAGTTACTAACTACTGTATGCCAGTTTAGGTCAAGTCTTAGGTTCTTTTAGAGATGACAGCAGACATATTATGCCCCACATCTCTAATAGTTTTACATCCTGTAATCGTTATGGAGTCAGAGTAGAGTGGACCTAGATGCTCTGTGAAAACCTGTGTATAATGCAGGAGTATAGCTAGCTGCATTTTTCATGTTACAATATTTAAATGGATAACTTTGAATTGGGAAGTTGGATCTCAGTTCTGTTTAAGAAATTGAGGTTATAGTATGACAAAGCACTTGTGTGCAGAGCCCTGAACCAGCTGGCTTGGGTACTAAGTTGTCCCATATAAAGCTTATTCTAATACGTTTTGCTGCAAAAAGGCAAACATTACATTTTTAAATTTTTATCTACCTACCTATATAAATGTAATATACTGTGTGTGGACATACAGGTTGCAAAAACTAGCTTAAAGCAGAAGCTAGAAAATAAATGACCTGTATTTCCTACTGTATCTGAATGGACTATCCTTGGCTTTGATGTGAGAAGTCACTACTTTGAACTTCTAATGTGCTTAAACATCAAATGTAACATTGTATTGGAAACTCCCTTTGGGAAAACAGGGAAAGAAGCTTTTAAATATTGTAGGATTTTCTTCTGTCCCTAAATAACTGGAAGGAGTGGAGGGCTTTTGGCCTTGCCTTGTTTTAGCTTGCTTCATCTCCACAGAAAAACCTTAGGTTGCTTTCTTCCTCCTGATTTAAAAGCTCTGTGACTAATGAGGAGAAATGCTGGTACCTCTTACAGAACTAACAAAGATATGGGAAAAATTTCTTAAAATATGAAAAGCATGTGAAGTAACTGCTTATAAACATAAGGAATGGCAGAAATAATTGTAGGCAATGTAGAACCAATAGGAATGTAAATGTTTTTTGTAACCTTCAGAATGCTGAAGTGGACTTCTGGATTATACCCATCATACAAGGATTTGTGCAAATTGAAGAACTTGTAGTAAACTATAGTGAATCTTCTGATGATGATAAGAGCAGTCCTGAAACTCCTCCTCAGGAATCAACTTGTGTAGATGACATTCATCCAACATTTCTGGTGGCACTTATTTCACGCCGGAGTCGGCACAGAGCTGGTAGGCAAACATAGTTCAAGGTATTGGGATTGTTCCTGAGCACTGGAGAGGGATGCAGAAGATAAAACTTGAAAGAGTGCTGTGTTGTTCAGGAGATGTTCAGCTCTTGTCAAGGTATGTACTACAGCCTCTCCTGCTTGTAGGAGGCAAAGAAAAGGCTGTAGTGCATACAGCACCACACAGCTGTTACTTAGAGCTGTTAGTAAGTGAGCTTTGCTAGTCTCCTCTTGAGCACTGAATACATCTTTGGAGGTCACAGTTCTGAGACAAAGTTCCATCTTGGCAAGGAACACCTTGACTGGAACCTTGTGTGCAGCTCTGTCTTGATAGATTTCAGTAGGCTTGGGGAGGAGTTAAATTTTTTGGTTTTTTTTTTTGTAAGATCTTCCTTTGTAGGCTTTGACAGCAGCTGAATAGCCTGGGAAAGGGGGGTGGGTGTATATGCACACCTGCATCCCAGCAGGTGTTTGTGTAGGGCCAAAGTGTGAAATACGAACCATGCCTTGGTCTTGCACCTTATTTGTCTTGTAGTAGCATGGTAAACAAACTATTCCCAGTCCCTAGGAGCACAGAAAGATTGAATCACTTGATACTTTAGTAGGTCCTGTTCAACTCTTAAGCCTTTTCAGTCTCTCAGGTTTTTATGATATTCCCCACCATGTCCAGCTCCTTTCCTACAGTCAGGTCCTTAACATACCAAAGAAAACAAGGAAAAAACCCACCAAACTGGTGAATTTACCCCCATAGGGGACTGACATTTGTACTACAGCTCACCTTAATGAATTTCATTCAGTTCCTAGGAAAATTATTTGTCAGAACAATTCAAAGTAAATACCTAAAGGTTTCAGGGTAGTATCTAGTTGGCAGTATGCTGTATTATACTAAATTGTTTTACAGAAACTGAATTGCAGAGGGCAAAATTGTTATTGGCTCCCTCATAGTATTAATGATTCCTATGCTCATCTGATTGCTGGTGCAGATCATAACCTGTGTAGAACTTTCTACCTTGAAACAAAGTTTGTTTCTGTAAATCGATGTAATGTTTTCAAGAATAATTATAGGATTGTGTGATTATCTCACTTTATAATTCATAATTTAGCTATGAGTTTGGTGGTTTAATTTCAGAAAATACTGTAGCTAAAAAAAAACCCAACCCCCCAAAAAAAAATAAGAGGAAACACTGATTTGAGAGCATAAGAAACTACTTTATTAAATACAGCAATTTGGTCAGGTAACTTTTTGATTTTAAAAAACAAAGCAAACCAACAAACCAAAAAACCTTCACTAAATTATCAGCATCCCCAAAACCTTAAGGAAAGATATAATGAAATAATGGGAGACAGCTGTTCTTAACAGTAAGACCCTAGTGTCTGCAAAAACAGATACCAAAAATAAGGGAGCTGAAGATTCTTGTGCCACGGTTTGGTTGGGATTTTGCTGTAAGAGCTGGTGGCAGGATGTATGTAAAGAGTTCCTGCTAATTTAGTCTAAAAGCCCCTGCCTGATTAAAAGCTGTAATATTATACTGCTTTGACATTTTCTGACCCTATAAAAGTCCCAGGGATTTACATCCCTTTCACTTCCTTTCGCAGCCCTTTTTACTTAGTCCTTTTCCATCCCTTGCTACCACCCACATCCTTTCAGAGCTAGTAGTGTACTCTGCTGTGAGGAGAGGATATGCAAACCTCCACATGGAAGCACTTACCTGCTCTGTTGAATGATCTGTCAGAAGAGCAATATCTGTTATTAATCTGCAGAATTAGTTACACAGGTTAAATCAAGGGGTGGAAGTCTGTTTTGTGGAACATGCAAATCTTGGGCTGCTTGTGGCACTGCTCAGAAGTGCAGCATCTATCAGTGAAAGTGGCCTTTGTGTTCCTGGAAAATAAAGGGCAATAAGTAAAACTTTGTGCTGAGCTTGGCAGCACAGGAAGTAAGGCATCCTTTAGGGTGGAGCAGACTTTATAGTGCCAGTAGTGAGTGTCTTGCCCCCTCAATGTACTGTCCAGAGCTGGTATAGCAGTAAAGAAAACTTCTTCCATAGAGTCAGTGTAGCTTTTGGGAATTAGACTAGGGTAGGAGTGACTCTTAACCATTGATCACTGATTTTGGCTAGAACTATCTTCTTGTGTTACCACTGTCAAAGGTAAACAAAGTTATTAATGCTTGAGACTGATCCTGAAGTGTGAATGCTCATTCTCCTTGCTCCTAGGAATGCGGTATAAGCGAAGAGGGGTTGATAAAAATGGAAACGTGGCAAACTATGTTGAGACAGAGCAACTGATTCATGTTCATAACCATACTCTCTCATTTATACAAACAAGGGGCTCTGTGCCCGTGTTCTGGAGCCAAGTTGGATATAGATACAACCCACGGCCCCGACTGGACAAGAGTAAGTATTTGAGTGGGATATCTGAAGATCAGAGTTCCCTTAAAACCAGGTTCATTGGAGTGTTGCTGTACCAATAGTCTTTCAGTGGCATTTAGTAGAAGTGAGGAATAACAGTAATGACTTGACTCCAATTAACTCCTACTCTAATTGCAAGTCTCCAGAGCTCCAATTTCCTGTCCTTTGTAAATTCCAACAGGTCTTGAATTTCAATATTTAATGAAGTACCTGTTTTGTCTAGTTTTAAGTGTTGTGTTTTCTGGCTTGGGAAGGGAGACAATTAAATTCCAACAGGTCTTGAATTTCAATATTTAATGAAGTACCTGTTTTGTCTAGTTTTAAGTGTTACAGTGTTTTCTGGCTTGGGAAAGGAGACAATTTAGCTTTCTTCCCTCAGAACTTGTTTAGACATTGATGTCTTACAAATATCTTTGTCCACAAAGTTAACCTATGCTGAAGTTCTTTCTGCTTTGAGAACTGCTATTTCAATCTGGGAAAACAGATATTTAATGTACCTAAGGTCCAACAGGTCTTGAATTTCAATATTTAATGAAGTACCTGTTTTGTCTAGTTTTAAGTGTTGTGTTTTCTGGCTTGGGAAGGGAGACAATTTAGCTTTCTTCCCTCAGAACTTGTTTAGACATTGATGTCTTACAAATATCTTTGTCCACAAAGTTAACCTATGCTGAAGTTCTTTCTGCTTTGAGAACTGCTATTTCAATCTGGGAAAACATATTTAACATACCTAAGGTTTGTAGTGTGCTTTTGTCGTCTTTGAAGTTAAGTACTATCTAGTGGGCTTTGTCAGATCTGAACTGCTTCCTTTTCCACTCAAAGATAATGCAAAACCCCAAAAATGTAAAAATATTGATGAAACTATGGCAAGTCTGGATGCTTGTATGAACTAGGCCTGAACTTTCTTAAAAAGTAGAGATCAACAGAATCTTCTCTAGGTTTAGCATTGTAAAGGAGAAACTTTTGCAGAAGTTAGTTACTGTGTTAATGATCCTGTATAACCAGACTGCCATTGGATTGACAAGTGTCCTAGATCACAAGTCTGTACTTCTGCAAGTCCAACTTGTGTGTTGGATTCACATTCTCCTCTAGCATTAGTAGATCTGGTCTTCTGCTATTGAAGATTGCTTTTAGGACTGAAAAAAAAATCTGCTCTTTGAGGGGGCTTGTGATATTGGAGAGTTAAAGCATTGGTTTTTTTTTTTTTTTTTCCAGTGTCTTGGGTAAGGTCTAGTAAAATGGGCCTTCAGGCTTGCTTAGGAACTTGAGCAAAGCATGTAATTTTAAGTTGGCAAGCCATATTGTGACAAACCTAATAAAGGTTCATTAACAGATTGGTATTTCTTGTGTTTTTTAAACCAAATAACCTGGACATTACTGGAGAGGGAAGACTTGTTGCCAAATAATGGAAATTTAAGTAAATTCATAAATTGAGAGAAATCAAAACATCTATCACCTTCTTTAGATATTTGGAGGCAACACTTGGTTAGTTGCAACTGGAAGCTTGTGCTGTGACATCTGTTTATAGAGCTGAGCAGTTCCTTTATGTTCATCTCTTTTTTCCTGATAGGATTAATTTTAAAAAATATTGAGAAATTGCATTTAATTTGATAGACTTATGGGTAGGAATTGAGACATGGAGTAATCAGATACTTGGATTAAATCAACTGGACAGTGTTTTTAGTCTTAGTTACAAGTAGTTTTGTGCTCTAGGAAAACTGGATAACACTTGAGTGTTATCCCCTGTTCTGCATATTCCCCTTGGCAATTTGCAAATGTTTCTTGTACTTCAGTTTGCTTCTTCAAAAAATGCAAAATAAATATAAGCACTCCTCTTTTGGAAGAGATGTTTGTGTGGGTAAGTGGTACATCTGTGGAAGGACTAAATAAGCTTATTAAAAGCTCAATCTACTCTGCACAAAAAGCAGAAATAAAGCAAAATTTAAAAAGTGGTATTTCTTGTGTACTGTAGTAATAGAATAAAAATGTTGAAGTTGAGCAAAGATTTTTAAAAGTAATTCTGTGCAATGTGCTATGTTGTGTCTATTCTGAATGAAGCTATCCAAATATAGCCCTGTACTAGCCACCATGAAGGAAGTGAACATTTTCCCAGCCAAAACCAGCACACAGCTTTTTAGATTATACATTTAATACTTCAAACAGATCTTGCTGCTGAACAGGCTGTTTCTCTAACACTACTCTGCCTTGTAGGTGAAAATGAAACTGTGTCCTGTTTCCGTGCACATTTTGAAGAACAGCTGAAAAATTACAAAAAGCAGGTGAGTGCTACATGTTAAAGGAGTCAACTTTTGATCCTCTGTTTTTTCATTAGATAGTTTTTAGTTTGTTTTTCTTTAGGTTGTATGAATAGTGGTTTTTTAGGAGCTTATTGACAATTGGAAAGATGGTATGTAAATAGTTAATTACTAAGTTTCTCAAGTCTCCTGGTAAGTAAACTCCAAAAAACCCAATAACTTACAGACATGTGTAGGCCCCATTTCTGTGTCCAATGAATTCAGAGCTTCTCTGTATTAAAATTAGGTAGGCAGGTAACTGTTGGAGTTTATTGGTCTTGAGTAAAATCTAGCAAAGACTGTAACTTCAGCAGGTTTACCTCCAAATCATTTAACTCTTGAGCTATTTTTTTTAAGTATATGTCTAAGCAAGTTGTGTAGCAGATGACAAGCATTAATGAATTAAACTTTTGAACAGGTTATTATTAATTTGGTGGATCAGACAGGCAGAGAGAAGATTATTGGAGATGCTTACCTTAAACAAGTTCTTCTCTACAACAATTCAAATCTGACTTATGTTTCATTTGATTTCCATGAGCACTGGTAAGGAACCTTTTAAAAATGTCACTTTGCATCTTTTTTTATTGGTATAAGAGTAGGAAGGAGGAGAAAAGCCATTACTATTTCTGCTTTTACATGAAACACTTTTCTTTTAAATTTCTTTTAAGAATGTTTTGCAAACTAAAGCACTGTAGAAGCTCAAGTTAAACTAACCAAGAACTGCTGTTTGATGTTGTGTCCCTGACCTGTTAAATGTGGTCACTGTTCAATATGCGGTTATTTGTCACAATCATAGAACAGTTAGGCAAAGCTTAGAAATTGCCTTTTAAGCAAGAGAGTTTCCTTAAACATGCCCTGAATGTAAAGCTCTGCCTGACCTGCTTTTCAAACCATATGGCTTTGTTGCTCTAGTACTTTTTCTCTTAATTCTTTACTGTAAAGCCACTCTTGTGTTCCTCTGGCTTGTTTCTTTAAACATGGGATGAGTTCTCTCAGGATCAGTATAAATAGTTGTCCTCTATCAGGACTCCACTTTGTTGTTGGCATGTGCAGTGTTCACAAGGCCAAGCATGTGAGCTGTCACACAGGAGTACATTTCTCTTGCTTCCTTCAAGCAGGCTGCATTTGTGGAGAAATACACCGGCTAAAAAACAGCTTTATTTCATTTCCTAATGTAATCTAGAGATTGTATCTGGCCTGGGAAAGCATTACTAAGTATGTCATTAGTAGATACTACCAGAGAGGGGGAGGGAAAAGGAAAAAGCTCCTCAAAATAGTAATAGCTTTTGAGTTTTCTGTAGGGCTGTTGACATCCTGAATTGATTTGATACTTTTTTTTCTAAAGGAGTTGTCAGTTTTGTTGACTTGCTGTTCTCCCAAGAACTGCTGTAGTGATCAGGACTGTTTGTTTTTGCACTGTGAGCATGACTGAGTAGAGAACAATACTGGAAAAACCTCCAGTGGGGTGAGGGAGGAGTGGATATGATATGTTTTTCTGTAGAAACACTAGTAAAGCAGAGCAGGCCATCCAATTTTCAAATGTGTAGTGGTTACTTTTGCTGAGACTGTTGCTAAAATGAGAACAGAATGTTGCACATGCCTGAACACTTGTTCTTCCTTATCGAAGCAGTGTTCAAGAATGTAAATTCTTGAGAAACCAGAGATCTGTCTGGGTTTAGATATTGAACTGTACTTTAAAATAGTCCTGAATATTAGCTGTTGTTTGAAGTTTGTCAGGAGATTGTCTCTCTCCCGCTTAGTCCAAACACAATCTTTGTATGAATTACAAATAATATTAAATAATGAGCAGTGATTTTTTTTTTTTACTTATAGTTCAAACTAACTTCTGTGAACTTCTGTGTTTTAGCCGAGGAATGAAGTTTGAAAATGTCCAAACACTGACTGATGCCATTCATGATATTATTCTTGACATGAAGTGGTGCTGGTAGGTACTTAACTGTTTTTAGACCAGTATGAAACAGTTTTAGGAAAAAAAAACACCTGCATATTCAGAGGCCTTACTTTTGTCATACACTTGATTTGACCCCCAAACCCTAGAATGCCAGTGTTGCCATTGACAGCAGTTGGCATGTTTGACCTTTAGTTGGTGTTGATTAAAGTTCATGCATTTTGATTGAAGACTACAGCTACACTTGTTACCAATTGCTGTATATTGTTCAATGTATTTTGTGAGATGTTGCTGTCATTATTGTTGGCATTATTTTTGAAACTAAATGCCTTTTCTTTTCAAAGCTTTTATTATATGTGCATGAATTGAACTTAACATCTGATTACATATCAAGTTTATGGCCTCAACTGGATGTATGTTGGATATCTAGCCTAGACAGAGGAGGGTAGGTGGGAACGAGTAACTCTGAGTGGGGTGTGGCTGGGGTGATGAGTGTAACTATGTACCCTACGTACATGGAGTGTACTCCATGTGTAAAATTGTCAGCTGTTTGTAAAAGCTGATAATCCCACTGGAGTTTGAGTCTCAGTGTGCTTTTGTTTTTCTGTTGGAAGGGTTGACCAAGCTGGTGTGATCTGTAAGCAGGAAGGAATCTTTCGAGTTAACTGCATGGACTGTCTGGATCGTACCAATGTTGTGCAGGCTGCTATTGCAAGAGTGGTCATGGAACAGCAGGCATGTACCATTACTGTGCTTCTTAAGTACTGAGTGCCTCAGAACTTAATTGCTATTCACAGGGGAATCTGTGTGTTTGAAAAAAATACTAAATCAAACTCTACTGAAAAGTTTTTACAAACTATTGGGAGAGCTAGGAAGCTGCAAGTAATATGTACAACTAAAATAACTTGGAAATATTCTAAAACAGTGATGTCTAGTCTTCTCCTTCAGAGATGAGTCTGTCTGCATCTTGGAAAGGATTCTCTTGTTTTGATTAAGTCATTTTAAAGTTGTACAGTAATATGAATTTTGAAAAACAAACTTCCCCCAAATCAGATGTTAAAGGACTAAAGTCTAACTAGAAATTGGATGGTATTTGAGCTGCTTTGAAGTGAGATACTGTGGTTCAGCTGATATAGAGATTAGTTGTCTCCTCTGGGTGTAGAGGAATAATTAATTCTGGATGTAAATATCCCAGGTGGCTCTGACCTACCATGCTCTGGAGTAGTTCTCTCTGTATAGAGAGGGCATTTCCAAGCAGACAGTCCTTCCTTTAGTCTTTGTCCTTGCTGCCCTGCCCACATTTGCTTTTGGATATGGAAGCTCAGTGGCAGTTGTCTTCTCTTGGGAAAACTTCATAGTACTGTAACTGAACCTTGGAAGCCTTGGTTACAGCCTGGTCCCAAATGAATGAACCTGACTAGGCTTAGAGTGAAGGATAAAGGATGAAGTGTGTCCTTCATTAGGATGGAACATGAATGTCTCTAACCATTCTCTGGCAGTTCCTGTTTGTCATTTGCTTTTATGAACTCCTGACATGGAGTGTTGGGGAGGAGGGGTGGGAGCAGCAATGCTGCAGTTGTTGCTGTAGAATAGATTTTCTGTGTGTTTTGACTCCAAGTTCAAACACTATCTTTTCAAATCAAGAGTTACATAGACTGTCATGGTGGGGACTTCAGTGGGGACTTCAGTGATCATTGCTGTGGTATTAGCTTGTGATGTGCTACATTGTTCTTGTATTGTAGCTGAAATACTTCAGAACCAGTTTATAACAGAAATGGCCTAGGCATTGGAAGGTGACTGACAAAGTGGAAGGCTGAGAATGACAGGCACCTTACCTTTGCACTTTCTGGAACCAGAGGACTTGTTTTCTCTCAATTGCAAATTTGAGAGGGATTTCAAAGTCAATGAACAGACTTGAATGAGTTTTCATCTCACTTGCTAAGAGTGCTTGAGCATTTTTTTATTGGCTATAAATTGAGGCTTGCTTATGACATTAGCCCAGGTTATCCCTGCAGTTGGCCTATCATTTAATAACTGCATTGCAGTTACATATGTGCTGCTTTACCAATTGAGTGTGTGTAGAAAGACTAAAGTTTGTATTGTACTCATGACTTATCTTGGGAAAACTTATCTTGTTCTTCAGAACAAGCAGTGCTTATCTTGCTGTCAGTGTCAGCATTAAACAGTAACTGTCCAAAATTCACAAGAATTAATAATAAACAAAATATGAAATTGTTTTCAAGTTTTCTTTGGGGAAGGAATAAGTTTGAAGATGGAGCTGCTACATTTGCTTTAAAGATTATTAATCTGGTGTGCCTTTTCTTGTAACTGGAAATACATAATTTCTTTATTTTCAGACCTTTGAGACCACAAATGCCATTGCAATAGAAATAGTTTTATCCATGTTAAAGTTTCTGTTCTTTTGATAGTTCTCTATAGAAAGGCTTCCTATATGCTTGAGCTTATTTTAAGATTGACTCCTACACACAATTAATGTGCTACTGCTGCATCCAGTGATGTGAAATTCAAAAACTAATCTGTCTAATAAGCAGCATGGGTGCATTTTTCAGATGATACAAAATTTCACAACTAAATGCCTGGCAAGCATTCCTGTTTTTATCAAGCTTTCATGTTGAACGTGTTCTTTTTTTAAGTCTTGAACCTTACATTACTGTGTGTCAAATTCCAGCTCAAGAAACTGGGTGTGATGCCACCAGAACAGCCTTTGCCAGTAAAATGCAACAGAATCTACCAGATCATATGGGCAAACAACGGAGATGCCATCAGCCGGCAGTATGCTGGCACAGCAGCCTTGAAGGTAATGGCTGAGGAGTGCCACCTGTCCTGATGGTGAGCTGTAGGTGATGCTACAGGCTTTATGCCCAACAGGGAGCTCTTGTATTTGTAACAAAGTTAGCCAAATAGTCTCTGTGCTTTCATCTTGAAGAGAGATGAGGTCTTTCAACAGAAAAATATTTGGTATCACACTTGGTGTAAATTGGAGAGGACTTGAGTGGCCTGTGGCAGTGCTGCCTCTGCCTGAACTTTGTTCTGTTAGCTTCACATCTAGATACAAAGTGTAGCTGGGTGAAGAGATGAAGATGTATATTAAGCATTACTTCTATTTAAATAGAAGCATGGTTATAGTGCTTTGAAGCAAGCAGTTAAATACTTAAAAATACTCTGAAGGACTGAAAGTCAGGATATGTGGGTAGTAGGGTGATACTAATTAGTTACATTTTCTAAAGACTTTTCTTAATTAGTTGCAGTGCAATCTGTCTACCCAGATCAGAAACCAGGCGTGAAACTCCTTACTGCTCACTCCTGCTGCTTTGGAAAGTCAGAATTTGAGCTGCTTGCTGTGTGTATAGTCACTGGTGGAGCAATTTTTAGTATTCCTGCTATTTGGCATCAGAAAATCCATTACAGTGGAAATGCCTAATGCTTAATTATCTTTCTAAATCTCTACTGAACTTTGATTAGTCTATTACATGAATCTTAATAAACCAAAACCTAACAGCTTGACACACTTCTCTTCATTGTGATTACTTCAAATCTGAAGCACAGACCTCAATTTGTAGATCTAAATTTTCAGCTGTTTTGCTTGAAGATTTCTCCACTCCCCAGTGAGGTTTTTGGATTAAATTTATTTTCAGTTTACTTGTGATATTTCTTTTAATTTGGAAGTGGAAATACTTGATGTTCTCCATAGTAGTTGGTGTGGCTTTTAGAACTGCTCTGTGCCAATGTTTAGAGTGTCTCTGAAAATAGAATCCTCTAATGAAGTATAACTACCAAAACTGGTGTCTTATTCAAGTTCTAAGACTTTTGTGGCCTAGAAAGTCTTTGGTTTCTGAGCTTAAGGATATGTACTATTTTTCTTTTAGTATGCTTTGCTTGTCTTGTTTTGGTAGTGGAAGCAGAGAAAATGAAAATTTTTCAGTAAGCTCCCATCTTCTCCATTGGTCCAGTAGTGCTCCTTTACATTAAAGGCCAAAAAACAAGGGACTTAAAAAAGTATTCAAGCACATTAGTGACATATGTTTTGAAAGTTCTGCTTTATTATTAGCTGGCATATGTGTCCAGATTGTTTTCCATGAGGACTTAGTCATAAGGATGTCAAAAGCCCAACAATCTTGAAGATGCTCTTTGAAACAGTGTTTTCAGCTTCTACTTAAAATACTTCCTTGAACATAATTTCTGAGCTGTCTATTCAGTTCTGAATTTCAGAATGCCAGAGCTTTAGAGACTGAGACTGCTACTGCAGAGTTGCATATATGCATGATTGGCATGTTCTGTGTAACAGGGTGACTTCACAAGGACTGGTGAGAGGAAGCTGGCAGGGGTAATGAAGGATGGAGTTAATTCTGCAAACAGATACTACTTGAATCGTTTCAGGGATGCTTATAGGCAAGCAGTCATAGGTAAGAACACCATTTCAACTATGCTGATCTAGAAAACTAGGATCATCTTGGCTTTATCTTTCTAACTGATTTTTTTTCTGAAGCTGAAAAGCACTTTCCATATAATTTTCATGTCTGTGTAGAGGACATGTGGAACAGTCATTCTCCATTTGGAGGTTAAACAACACTCAAGTTGAAGTAACTATGTTCAGTGTAACCCACTGTAGAATTTGTTCTTGACTTGGTTTTAGCATTAACTGTCTTGTAACCGCTGTCTTATAAAGTTAAATTTATGTAGCAACTGTTTCTTAAAATAGTGAGTTAACTTTTGCTTTTCACTGAGAGAAATTGTTATACCTATTGAGTTTTTAGTTTCTTTCTGACTAGAATTTTGAACTGGCCATTTCTCAAGAGTATATTCAAATATGAAATGTCTAGGAGGAATTTACAGAAGTAATCAACAGACTATTGATCTATCTCACTTCTAACTGTTGGTTTCTTGTTTGTTCTTTTGTGGGTTTTGCTTAGATGTGATGCAGGGTATCCCTGTGACAGAAGATCTTTACTCCATTTTTACAAAAGAAAAGGAACACGAAGCCCTGCATAAAGAGAACCTGAGGAGCCATCAGGAATTGATCAGCCAGCTGCTGCAGAGCTACATGAAACTGCTCTTACCAGATGATGAAAAATTCCATGGAGGTTGGGCACTTATTGACTGTGATCCAAGGTTTGTTCAATGAAGTCATAACTGATCAGCTGTAGCTATGACATCTTTGTTAATTACTATTGATGTTAAGTGATTTTTGATAGCTTGTGTTAACAGAATACAGCTGGACAGTTGAGCAGAATGACAAGAGTCCTTGGAGAGGTTGAACAGATGTAAAAGAAAATGTCCTCTAAATGTGCTTTTCCCACAGTGCCATAAAAATGGTGCATGTTTAGTTCTTTGAGACACCACCTGCAAATGCATGTACTCTGTTAATGTAATAGGTGCCATGAAGAAAACTTCTAAACACCTATTGTTCTGGGAGGGGCTGCCTGAGGAGCTGTTGTTCCTTATTGTTTAACAGAGAAAGTGTAACTTGACTTCAAAGCCATAGCTGGTCAGAAAAAAAATTCTTGAGCATTAAGTCAGTAGTAGGAAAAGCCTTGATTTCTTTTCCTGAGAAGTAGTCAGCATAAACACTAGCTTCACTGATAAGTTTCCTTATCAAGTTCAGAGTTCACCAACTTCTACAAGAAACATAGTGGTTAGTTCTGCAGGTTAAACTTCAGCATCTAAAAATAGCAAAGCAGGATGTTATGGGAGCTGTGCAAACCACAGGCTCGTCACCTTAACTGAGCCTGAGATTCTTTGCTGTTTCTCTGCTAGCATTTTTAATAGCTTGTGGGTTTTCTATTTTTGGACCTGTTGCTGGCCTGTTTGAGCTATTGGGTAGCTCAGGTTTAAGAGTGTTGCTCACGTGGATGCATTTATTGTGTGGCAAGTCTAATGACACATGACATTTTGGCTTGTGAAGTGTCTAACCTGACTTGGTTTTTCAGTGGCTGTGAACAGGTAGCAGCATCTCACAACATGACATACCATAAATTGAAACCTCTTGTAACATGTCTTCAGTTGTGATAAAGTCTCCTTAAAATTTACTGGAGAGGGGTAACAGTGATGCAAATAAAACCTTCCTCCCTGCACTCACTCGTATTCTTCTTCCCTTAGTCTCATTGATGCCACTCATAAGGATGTGGATGTTCTGCTTTTACTTTCTAACTCTGCATACTACGTGGCCTAGTAAGTGACTGCTTTCTCTTACTATGTCTAGTTTTTTCCTAGTAGCTTTTTCAGACTAGTAGGAAGCATTAAATTCTGTTTCTTTTTTTCTAGTTATGATGATGAGATTGACAAGGTGAATCAGTACCAAAGGTTAGGTCTTGAAGCTCTGGAAAAAATAGAAATAGGTAAGAATATAGTTGCTATATTTTCTTGAATGCTGTTAACAATAGTGTGAGCACTTGGCAAAGTATCCCCCAGTTCCATTGCAACACCAAGCCTCAATGTATTGCATGCATCCTGTGCAGTCCACCATAGCTAGAAATGTGCTTTTTTTGCTGATAACAGATGCCAGAGTCGAGTCTGTTCTGTCCTTTTTGCTACTGCTTGAAATGGAGACTTTGATCACTAGTACAGCTGTGAAATTTACTCTTTCAAATCTCATTATTTATCAAATGGCAGTATCAATTTGATCAGTCTGTGGTGAGTCACAGGTTTGTGCATTCAGTGCACTATTTTTTGATCCAAATACAGCAGCTGGTTCTGAATTGTACTTTGGATCTGTTTCATAGCTTTTTAAAACTCTTCTTTCTCAAGTTCTGGTAAGAAACACGCTGTGGTGAAATCACCTTGTTACAGAATCATATAACTGTTTTAGTTGGAAAAGACCTTTAAGACAGAGTTCAACTATTAACCTAACAGTGCCCAATTTACTACTAAACCATGTACCTCTGCACCTCATTTACACGTCTTCTAAATCCCTCCAGGAATCTTGATTCCCACCTCCTTGGGCAGCCTCTTCCAGTGCTTGATAACCCTTTTGGTGGAGAATTTTTTTTCCTAATATCCAGTCAAAACCTACCTTGGTGCAACTGGAGGCTGTTTCCTCCTGTCCTGTCCCTTGTGCTGATTTAACTTATTTGACTAAAGGATGTAATATCTACAGGCTGCATCCAGCATTTTCCACTGAAAAATAGAAAACTTTTTTATGTCTTTGACTTTACAGATGAAAATGGTTGGAGAGATGGGAAGGAAATTTTTGTTGCTCCCAGTGCATGCCCCTTCTGCAAGAGACAGTGATCCTCATTACACAATGCACAGGAATTTCATCATCTCCTTACTGTAGAAATTGCACAGACATAATGAAAGTTACGACTTCAGTGCAAAATTTTCTCACTTGCTTATTGTGGAGGTAGAATCATAGGATAGTTTGAGTTGGAAAGGACCTCAAAGATCATCTAGTTCCAACTCCACTGCCATGGGCTGGGCTACTGCACACTAGATCAGGTTGCTCAGAGCTCCATCCAGCCTGGTCTTGAACACATCCAGAGATGGAGCATCCACAATCTCCTTAGGCAACCTGTTCCAGTGTCTCACCACCCTCATAGTGAAGAACTTCTTCCTAATTTCTAATCCAAATCTCCCCCCTTCCAGTTTAAAGCCATTACCCCTTGTCCTGTCACTACAAGCCCTTGTAAAAAGTCCCTTCCTAGCTTTCATGTAAGCCCCTTCAGATACTTGGAGGCTGCAATAAGATCTCCCCAGGACCTTATTTTCTCTGGGCTGAACAATTCCAACTGTCTCGGTCTGTCCTTGCAGGAGGTGTTCCAGCCCTCTGATCAATTTCATGGCTCTCCTCTGGACCTGCTTCAGCAAGTCTGTCTTGTATTTGGGGCTTCAGATATCCATCCTGACACACAGAATATAGCTGAAACATCTAGAAACATTATAGAAAAAAAAAAGTTTAATGATTTAGATAAGATGTAGTGTATTGAAGAGTTGAAGTACTTGGTCTAAATCTTGACACATTTTTAGCAAATGAAAGCAGTGTATTAGTTTTCCCTTGAAGCTTTACAGGAGCATACCCTAAAACACAGGGTGTAATGGGTGTAGAATTTTTTCTTCTATTTGAAAGGGTGATCTGTAATCAGGCTGGATTATAGTAGACATGTAGAGAGCCCAGTTGCTTTTTCTAAGTAATGGATTGTTTAGTTATTGTGAAAATCTTTCATTTCAAATGTCTAACCTACTTAGAACATGAAGCTTTCTATACTTAAAAAGACACAAGTTTAGGTACAGGCTTTGCAATATCTCTCTCACTGTTTGGTTAAAGATTTCTAATGTGGTTTATTTCTCAGGGCCTGAGCCTACTCTCTTTGGCAAACCCAAGTTCTCTTGCATGAGGCTGCACTACAGATACAAAGACACGAGTGGGTATTTTCACACTCTCAGAGCCGTGGTACGCAGCCCAGAGGAAGATGGCAAAGGTTTGTTTCACATGCTTTATATAGAAAAGTGGGTTCAGAATATTGTTTCTCTAGGAAAATTTTTCCATTCCTCTTAGAATAACTTCTGAAGGATAAATTTTAACTTTTTAAAATTTTCCCTTGTGTGGGGTGTGAAACCAACACATTCCCTGTATGTGTCTTCCTGTGTGAACACTGGAATGTTATTGTTTTAATAGGGAGAAAAATAAGTTCCAGATATGGCTTGAAAGCAACATGTCTCTCTAGAATTGAGACATTTTCATGTCCAGATCTTTACTGCTCCAAAAACTGATAAAATGAACTTAAAATTAGCTCTTGAAGAGCAGAAGAAATTGATTTAATCCATTGATGTCTAGAAATGTTCTTGCTTGTTTAACCAAACTGAATGAACACTAAGGGGGAAATATCCCTTCTTACCTGGAGCACTG